CTTACATAACTCATACAATCGACTAGATATATATAAGAGAATACATCTGGATTAATGATAAGTAATAGCACTAGATTCAAGAGGCATAAATCGATTTCCAAGAGAAATAATCTGAGCTGGATGATCTGGCTTTTGTTGACCACACTTTATCTTCTTAATGTTGTTATTGCAGGTTTTATTGTAGGTCTTTGACGGCTTCGGATGACGTGCTTCAAACGTGCTGGGCTTATTGGACTTGAGATCAAATGGTCGATCCTCCATTGCTTCTAGTGTTGGCCCATTTGCAGTTTCTGGATTTTCAGGCTTCTCTATAATGTTTGGGTCTGATTTCACAGGTCATGCTCGAAATTTTAATCATCAGAGGAATCAATCTTCCCTTTCCGATGTAAACTTCGGCTTGTATGAGGTGAAGTCTCTTTTATTGAGAGAGATTTTGAGTTGATGGGGGAATTTATCTGATGTGTTTAGGCGACGATCAGTGATTCCCAGTTTTAATTCCGGTGGAAATTAAAGAATCCAGCATCTCTTTTGGCGATGATTTGCGGAAGAACAAGCGGAAGTACAACATAATAATCGAAGTTCGACTAGTGTTGAAGATATAGATGCAGGGATGGCTACGTCGATGAAGCGTTGCGGTGGTGCGGATGGGTGGAGGTGGAGTTTCGCCGGCAGTAAAAGCTGAGTCACAAGTGGTGATAATCGAAGACCTGCTTAGATCACGAAACGTGTTTCTTCGTTTTAATGCACGTGTTCTCTGAGAAATGCACATTAAATCTTCACTATTGCAATCGGCACAAAAAAATACCCAATTATCAAAGTGGCAAAATAATTCCTCAAGTTGTCGTTGACCACGCAAATTAGGGATTAATGAAGTCAACAGTTAACTCTCTAAACGGTCGTCGTTAGTATTACTCTCGTTCTAATTTCTGTCATCGGGATTTCATTAGTTTGAACCCTAAAAAGCTCCAAAGGCGATTTCCGGCGAAGCAATAAACCTGACTCCGGCGAGTTACAGCGGCGATACGATTCAGAATAAACAAGCTTTTTCATCAACAATGGTTAGGACTATGTGGAAAAGAGGCGGAAAGAAGCTTCCAGTTCGAAGAAATCGAGAACCAGAACCCGAACCTGATCCTCCGAGGTAATTTCGAACTTTGCTTGTGAATTTTGATTAATCAAAACTTGTGTTTAGAATAGAGAATTTCCATTGCAGGGTAACTGATGAAGAAACGAATATGGGTTTAGAAAGAGATAATGTTGATGGAGAAATGGCTACCAATGTTGAAAAACCGGCGAATGTGTGTTTGGAAATTGTGTGCTTTAATAAAGAGAGAGTAGCTAGTGTAGATGAAGAGAGAGTAGGTCGTGCAGATGAACCAGAAGGAGGTTCTGCTGATGAACAGGAAGTTGCAGATGCTGAAAAAAATCCAGAAGAGTCTGATAAAGATTCATCGGTCGAAGGAGATGATTGTCCAGTAATTGTTGAAGACACTGCAGGATATAGAGAGAGTGAGCCAGCTTTCGCTGAAAATCCAGAGGATAATGATCCTGAGGAGGAGCTAGTCAATGTGCAAATATGTGAGGATGATGAATGGTTTTCGCATTTTGGAGAAGGTGCCCCTGAAGATGGAAATGGTGATGATGATAGTGGAGATGATATCTGGGATGATGAACACATTCCAGATCCTTTGACAGATGATGATGAAGACGAAAATAGGACAGAGGAAAGGCCATTCAAATTTGGTCCGGATGACATTTTGGCATTAGGGAAGACATTCAACAATGCTGAGGAGTTCAAGTATGCATGTCTCACTTATTCTCTGAAGACACAATATGATATCAAGATGTACAAATCATCTCAGAGCAGGCTTGGTGCAAAGTGCACAAAAGAAAAAGAAGAAAACTGTGCTTGGAGGGTCTATTGCTCTTTTGAGAAGGGCAAAAACAAGCTGATGATTAAGTACTTAGATGGTAAACATGTTTGTGTAAGATCTGGGTCGACGAAGCTTCTGAAAAGTGATACCATTGCACAACTGTTTGAAGAAAGGTTGAGACTGAATCCTAAAATCAAGTCGCAATTCATGGTTGATGAAATAAAAAGAGAGTACAACATGAATGTTAGTGTGCATCAGTGTAGGAGAGCAAAGGCATCACTCGCAGCTGCAAGAAAAGCTAGCCATGAAGCTCATTTTGCTAGAATTTGGGATTACCAGGCTGAGGTACTTAGGTCGAATACAGGTTCAACAATGGAGATTGAGACCATTCCTGGTCCAGTACCTGGAAGCAGACAAAGATTCTACCGGCTCTACATGTGTTTTGAGGTATTAAAATCATCCTGGAAGGAATCTTGTAGGCCTATAATCGGTTTAGATGCAGCATTCATGAAGTGGGATATTAAAGGCCAAATGTTGGGAGCAGTTGGCAGAGATGGTGATAACCGAATCTTTCCTATTGCTTGGGCAGTAGTTGATGTGGAGGATAACCCAAATTGGTTGTGGTTTGTGCAACTTCTGAAAAAGGATTTGGCACTTGAAGATGGAGCTGACATTACCATCATCTCGGATAAACACAGGGTTTGCCTAAGTGTTTTTTTTTTTTGGTAATGGTTTATCGTTTACTTGATTTTGCACTTCTCTAATGGTGTTTGCTTGACATGACAGGGTATCCTCAATGCAGTTCAGACAGAGCTTCCTCGTGCTGAACATAGAATGTGTGCTAGGCACATTGTCGAAAATTGGAAAAAGACCCACAAAGACATAGAGCTAGAGCGTTTGTTCTGGAAAATTGCAAGAAGCTATACTAGTGGAGCATTTGAGGATAACTTGGAAGCATTGAGGAAATACAATCAGGGTGCATATGATTCTCTGCAAAGCACTGCACCAAAAACGTGGTCTCGGGCCTTCTTCAAGCTTGG